AGGTGACCCATAAACCGACTGGCTGCGCAATAATTCCCAGAGAGGAGTTTCAAAATGCTAGGAGCACTAGACGCATCGCTGGGATAAGTGTACGGTTCCCAGAATGGTGATTTGGCAGGGTACAATACTAATGTGGATATATAAGTTCAAATATGTTTGTCAAAAAAGGAAATCTGATTGCTTACATTCATGAAAATAAAGAAGCTATTCTCCTGGAGAAATTTCTCCTCCTTTTTTGACAGCCTGTCTGCTTTGGACAGGGAGTCTGCTGAGAAAAACAGACTCATCTCATGCAGAAAGCCTTCGTTGGCCACTCTACCCCCTCGGCACAGAGACCCACCTCAGGCTGGGGCAAGGGCTCCTGCCCTGAGTTCCCACAGCCATCTCTTTTCCTTTAAGTATTAGTTCTTATACTAGATAGTGGCGATTGCCTTTCTATGTGTATGTCAATCTTCTCCCATTCAGATCCCTTGAGAATGGGATCAGATTCAACTCTGTGTCTCCATGCACAAGGCAGTGCAGACAGAGCCTGGGACACTAATTCTGTTCTGGACACAAACCCTCTGCCTCTGCTTCTCATGCTCCCAGGGGCTGCGCTTGCTAAATGAACTTCTTCTGCATGGCAACCAAAACTGAACACATGTAAGATCCATCCGCGTGAATTTATAGAGACCTAGGGTAGACTGGTGGTGGTTGCTTAGTTAGGTCCGAAAGCATAGGGGAGCAAGAGGGATTCACTGCTAATACATGGGGCTTCTTTTAGGGTCATAGAAATATTCTAAAATTAGATCATGATCATGGTTGCACAAATCTGTAAACACACTAAAAATATTGAATTGTTCACTTTAAATGCGTGAATTGTGTGGTATGTGAATTACATCTCAATAAAGTAGTTTACTTTAAAAGTCCTCCACAATGGGAATATTTGTGCCTTGGTTGCTTTCTAAGATGGAGGTTAGAATAAATAATAGTCAAGGTCTCTTCCAAAAAATCTACTTCTGTATAGAAAATTAAGTTTCTGTCATCTCTGTAAACTATATCACTTGAAAGTGATATCACCAAACTTAAGACAGTGAGGGCTGGCGGGTGTCCCTCAACATCGATGCTCCCTTTCATTTAGCTTGACACCCCCATGTTTAGCCTGACACATAGCACCCAGAATAACACTGATATTTCCCAGCTTCCCTTGCTGCTAGAAGAGGCCTTAGACTAAGTTTTGACCAACAGGACACAAGTGAAATTATGTAGTCTCTGAAAGAGGAGTGCCTTTCATCCTCTATCGCCCCTCCCTATTGGCCAGACCCACCCTATGGGGGTACACAGCCATCTTGGATCTTACAGATAAAAGCAACTCACTATGCAAGGCTGAGCTACAAGAGGAAAGAAACATGGGTCCCCTTACACATCGAAGCCACCATATTGGTCCTGCAAAGTCTCCTAGAAAGACCTCTGTTACTATGAGCTTTTGTTTTGGTTGAGTAACTTGTTTTGAAACGGTTTTAGCAGCCAACGGTTATAGCAACCAGTGATCCTCACACTAATAATAAAACTTGGTATTCTGTACCAAAACAGAATCTAAAGTGTGTGGCATCGGCATACTTTTTTAGAGCATGGCAAAAGCGTTACCACTGCCACCTTAGGAGGCAGACCACTAGCCAACAAAACCTTTAGCTCTAGGCCAGTGATGGCGAACCTATGACACGCGTGTCACTCATTTTTTGGTTGATTTTTCTTTGTTAAATGGCATTTAAATATGTAAAATAAATATCAAAAATATAAGTCTTTGTTTTACTATGGTTGCAAATATCAAAAAATTTCTATATGTGACACGGCACCAGAGTTAAGTTAGGGTTTTTCAAAATGCTGACACGCCGAGCTCAAAAGGTTCGCCATCACTGCTCTAGGCAAATGGTTGGGAGAATTCATGAGAGGAGTGTTAGGTGGCTGCTTCTTGCCACAATACAGAAAGGAGCTCAGGCAAAGATGAGCCAGTCTGCAGGCAGATGCGGAGGTCATGGTTCTGCTAAAGGGTTTTCTTTGTGGACTGCGAACATTATGGCTGGTGAATGCCCCACTTATAACTCCATATATTCATTGCAAGGGATTTAGGGCACCTCCCCTGTGAAAGTGTGATGTGTTTTATGGGTGGAAAGGAGAATGGGCATGATTATCTGCATGGCCAAAGAGTGGTCCATGGCAAAAATTTCTAGTTGCCTCTGGGATTTAAAGACATAAGTACTGCACGGCATATTTTGTTTTCCAATGTGGTACTTTTCTAAGATTTTTTTCAGGATGACTTTGACTCTGCTAAAGTCTCACCTTCCACTCTAATTTGAGACTCCATCATCCCAGGGTAAAATGTGACCTCCCAGTATTCATTGGATGATTTGCCCCCATTGGCTCTAGGGAGGCCAGCTGGTCCTAGAATTATATTCTACTGGCTCAGTTTTCATTGTTTATTTGAGTCATCAAAGGAAGAAAACCAGTCATGTCTTGATGTAGATTTTGCCTCTTGTGCCTCATGTGATTCCATTAACTGGTTTCAATTCAATCTAATAGCGAGCGAGTGGCTTCAACCCCAGTAGCAAGGTCGGCACACTTCTCCTCTCCAAATGCTCACTTACTTCAAACTTCTCCCAGACTGGCAGTGTCCTCGGCCACTCCCAGGGGGAACCCAGTATTCGGAGCCCAGTCCTGGGGTGTCTGTTCTGTGACATCTCTCTGTCCTAGGAACAGAGGGGGCCGTTCCTAGTCTGTGTTCCTGACTCTGTGACCTGTGACACCTGAAATCTCTGCTTTAGGGAGGAAATAAAGCAATGCATGTGAAAGTATCTTGTAAAATATACAACATGAGGTGTGTTTTAGTGCAGTTAATTCTTATAGAGTATGAAACAAAAATACAGAGTTAGAAGGTGGGGGGGCCTCCAACCTACCTCTTCAACATGCTATGCTCTCTCACATTTGATTCCGCCTCGACTATTCTTTTCTCCTCTTCACCTCCAAGTCTGGGGTAGGGCTTCCCTGCCTCTATGCCTGAATCAGATGCACTTCTTTTCTGCCCACATAGCCTGCCTTGTTCACCTCCATAATAGCTCTCACTGCACCTTGTAGCAGTTGTTGGTTTGCTGTCTGTAACCCATCTGGCCTCCAACACAAACCTTCTTGACTCTAAGTCCCAAGTGGGTGAGGACTGACTGGGCTTGTCTTATTCTGGCATTATCCCAGGAGTCAGCGCAGTTTAACTGACGAGTTCCCCGTGAGCTCCCTGCAGTGTTTGAGATCCTCACACTGGCGGGTTTGGCCTAAAAAATGTTCAGTGGACTTAGCAACCAGAAAGTCAGTAGTAACCTTGGTGAGAGAAATTTTAATGGAGTGATAGTGAAAGCAGAAGCCAGGTTGTAGTGGGGTGGGGAGTGCATGGGAGGTTAGAAATCAATGATGGTGAACACATACACGTCTTACAAAGATTGGCATAATGGGGGAAAGCAATAGGGCAGTCGCTAAAAGGTGAAAAGGTTTTAAGAACATAATTTTTTAGTCTTAACTAAATGAAGGGTTATCCTAGGATGTAGTAGTTTGTTCTTTCAAGAGAATTTGAGGTTGTCTGAAAACTTGAGCATGAAGAAAAATCCAGACAAGGTCTGGCCCAGGGAGGCAAATGTAGGTTAGGTCCAGTTTAGGTTAGGAGACTACTAGAAACAGATCTTCAGATGTAAGGGTCCCTTGGTTCCCGGAAGCTGTGCAAATTCCGTGCTGCGGTCTCAGTGCTGCCATTACAGAGCCTGCAAATGATTTAACCTGCCTAAGCCCCCGTTTTCTCCTTGGCAACTTGAAGATGCCCATAGTGGCATCGACCTCACAGGGCTGCAGTAGGTTAAATGAGCTACTGCACCTAAAGGGCTTCTCAAGGTGCTTGGCAAAATGGCACTCTATGTTCATGAGATAAATAAAGTACTATTAAAATGGATTAAAATATTAGAATGAGTTTCACAAGAGTTGGTAAAGGTCAAATCTTATTTTAAATATAGAAAGGAAATTTGGTCTTTAAAAAAACTCTTTAGAAGACCTTTTATACAAGCGAGTGAACAATCAGCCCTGATTTACTTATGTTGTAAATGCGTTTTTCCCGTATATCAGGTTTACTGCAAAGTCTCTCTCAAAGTTTCACCTGTCCGAGTGAACCTGCCCAGTTAAACCAGTTAACGTCCCAGGGGGGGTGGGGGGGGGGCGCGGAGAAGGAACACGGTGTTGCATTAATTTCCTGAACTGCTTGCACAAGAGCGCCGTTGAGTATACAGTTTCTGTTCCAGTGAAAATTCAGCTCCAGCCCCCTCCGTGGAACAGACCCAGAAGCGCCACTGGGCAAAGACTAGCCTTTGAAAACCCTGGGTCCCAGCAACCAGGCCGCGCAAGGCTCTGTCCCAACGCAAACTGCCGGGTGGAGAATGAGCCAACCATCCAGTCCGCGGGGCGGGCCTGAGGGCCACCCCGGCCGCCAGCGTCGGGCTCGGAGCCCGCGGGGAGCGCCAGTCCCAGACCAGAATAGCAGGCAGCCGGGGCTGGAAGCGAGGGCGTTCTGAGCCAGGCGGCGGCCTCTAACCTTTCCCGGCTCAGGCACCGCACTCCGCTCTGTAACTGTATCTTTAGGGGCAGGAAACGGTCCCGTAAATGTCAGAGGCCCCGGGAGGGGAGGAGGAGCGATGGGAGGGGCAGGAGGCGGAGGCGGGCTCCCCAAGGTCAAGCCCTGCTCCCCCGCCCGCGCCTCCCTGTCCCCCGGGGAGTGGGGAGAGCAGCCCCGCGGCTAAGCGGCCACTTCCCCGCACGCGGCGACCTCCCCGGGCCTCCAGGCCGGCGGGAGCGAGCGCAGAGGAGCTGGGGGTGGAGACGGGGGCGGCCGCGCACGGAAGTGGCCGGCACCCAGCGGGCGGGCGACACCAGCCGCACGTAGCGCACGGCCCCGCGCCCGGGCGCTGGCTGCCGGGGGCCGGCGCGTCCCTTACCCCGTTGGCGGCGGCGATGCGGACGATGAGCTGGATGGCCTCCTTCACGTAGAACCTGCCGTCCCCGCCCACCACCAGGGTGGCCTCCTGCCGCTGCGCCGGCTCCACCGTGGAGATGATACTCTGGATGAAATTCTCCGCGTAGTTGGCGTTGCTCTGGAACACCTTCACCCGCTTCCGCAGCCCGCTCGTGCCCGGCTTCTGGTCCGGGTACGCCTGGGTCTTCACTGTCACGATCTTCACCATGTTGGCGACTGGCTGCCTGGAGCCCGAGCGGACTCTGCGAACCCGGGGGCGGCCGGGGCCGAGGCTGCAGCTGTTCTGGGTGAGGGCGCGGGCGGGGTAGGGGCAACGCCGGCTCTCCGGCCGCGCTCGGCCCTTCTCCTTAAAGGGACAGGGGACAGGGCCCTCCCTCCGCCGCCCGCCCACCTCCCGGCAGATTTCAGTGGGAGGGGAATGGGGTGCGCACACCTCCTGGCCTCTAGAGAAATGGGTGGAGTCTCTCAGATTTGCCCTACTCCCCACCCCACCCCAACCAAATCACCCTTAAATGAAATCCTCAACTCCTCCCGTAAATGGAGGGCAAAGCTTGGGGTAGGGGCCAGGTCATAGGGCAAGAACTTGAGGCAAGGTGAGAAAAATACAGAGCATAACGATTTCCTGTAGTTCGCCTAGATTATCATAATTTTCCAGTAAAGAATTTTCTGGAAACCTGTTCTGAGGGATAAGAGTGCAGCCTTAACTAGATTTTGACTCCTCGTTCTTTCATTCTCTCTCCAAATATTAGGGTGTCCGTGTTAGAAAAATAACTCTAAAGGTCTAATTATTCTTACTACTCTCCATGTCACTTTACTTCCATTGGTTAGGGTGGGTATACTAATAAGTAAGGTTTTACTGAATATAATGTTTCTAATCCTTGCTAAAGTGCAGGGGGTCAGTTTTATGCTTACAAAACTGAGATTCAAAAAACAAATGGCTTGTCAAGGCCATAGAGATAAGCACATGGAGGAGGCCAACTCACGTGGGTGTGGCTCCAAAACCAGGGCTCTTACCATGATTTGCCTGCCTGTCTCACCAGGTTCGACAACCAGGACATAAATGTACTGGGAGGCCTTGATAAATGTGGGTACAAATACAAGGTAAGGCTGAGTATATTACCATCAAAACATGCCAGTTATTCATGTAACAGAGATTTGGTGAAGAGATCAAGGAGGATTGAGGTGGCCAGAAAGGATTCATGGTCGATAGAGAGTCAGGGAAGGAGACTGGTTTATTGAGTAGGGATCTTGAGTTCAGCATCCCCCTTGATTTGGCAAGAGTGATAGTCTCCTCTGCTTGGTGAAGTAGGAAAAACGGACTTTGTGTGACCTGGGTGAGTTAGTTAATATCTGTGGGCATCCATTTCTTTGCCATACATTGATATAAAACCTATAAAACCTATCTTAGAGAATTGCTGCGAGAATCATTGGGGTTTTGTATGTCAGTAGTTTTCGATCATGGAGACACAGTAGAATCACTTTATAAACTATCCATGCTTCAGCTCCAATCCAGACAGATCCAATCATTATCAGTTGATGTAAGTAAATCGCCTGGAATGGAATCTGACACATAGAGGCCCTCAAAAAATATTAGCTCCCCAACCCCAGCTCCAAAACCAGAACTTATCGTTAATCTGTGAATTTGATTATATTTATGCCCTTGTAATAGTTAACTGGTATCTCTTGATCAAGCAGAGAGGCTGACAGACACATGAATGCTGACTCTCAGAAATCAAGTGCTGATATATATGTTCAGTAGCTGTTTTGTCAATATAGAAAAATTTTAATATTGTCACCGTAGATGACTTTCAGGGCAAATAACATGAAAACTAAATCCTGGACTGCTGGTAAGGATTTCTAATATTTACACAAAATTCACAAAGCTTATAGAGTAGTATCATCTTGTGAATTAAGCTCTATAATCAACCCCTTTTATAGGTTAGAGAATTGATAAAATGGTTAATGTAATTAAAGGTATCTAACTCTATAATATAAAAATATAACATAGAATCCCTGAGTCTTAGAAATACCTACTTCACAGAGTTGTATGAATTAAATCAGCTACTGAACATAGAGCTCCTAACACAGTGCTAGTAAGTACTCAATAAACAGTAACTCATTATTATAGAGTGGTGGGCTCAGTCAGATCCCATGCTCTTTCTACTAGTACATTCTTCATTGTCTTCGGAACTAGGATGGTGTTGGGGAGCACACGAGACTTGGTTGGAAAGTTTATAAGGAGGACATTCTGAGAAAAGGGAAGTGTGTGGAAGGCCGCCTGCCCTGTTTATTAGAATTCTGACTTAGGGGAGTGTTGAAGGCGGCGCCCCTAATTATTCCTTGACCTTTCCAAACAAGCCTGTGCATGTGCAGACCCCCAGGTGTTTACTGGAATCCTATGCTTAATCCCTGGATGCCCTTGCCTAGAGGACAATGTAAACACATGTGTCCTCCCAAGTTACTCACCCTACTGATTGTACCTAAATATAAAAATTCCAATAAAAGCCTAATGAGGCAGGCAATCGAGGCAGCCTGGTCACTTCAGTCAGGCCGTCCCTTAGCCTCTCTTTCACAGTAAACTGTGTCAGAGTAATCTGTTCATCCGTCGTTCAGGGGCTGCTGGTCAGCTCTGGCAGGATGGGGCTTTTCATTTAAGAGGAATTGTTCCATACTTCTCTCACCTCAGAAGTTGTAACAATTAATTTTAACTACATAACAAACCACTCTTAAATTTAGTGGCTTAATACAAGCACCATGTACTATTATTGCTCATGATTTTAAAAGTTAACTGGGTGGTCTGCTGATTTGGGCAAGACTGCTGATCTTGGCTGGGCTCCTGTGGCAAGTGGTCCCCATGATCCTTGTCTCCTGGTAACCATGCTTTCCTTGCTGTGTAACACATTACCACAGACTTGGTAGCTTAAAATAACACCCTTTCATTATCACAGTTCTGAAGGTCAGAAGTCTGGGTGTGTTTGGCTGGATTGAGTGCTCAGGAATCAAGGTGTCAGCTAGGGTGGGCTCTGGGAAGCATCTGTTCCCAAGCTCATCCAGTTTGTTGGCAGGATCCATTTCCATGCAGTTGTAGGTCAGAGGTCCTTGTTTCTTTGATGGTTGTCAACCACAGTCCACTCTCTGCTCCCAGAAGCTACCTGCATCAAGTCCTTCTTATCTTGCAATCTCTAACTTCCTCTCCTGCCATCAGCCAGAGAAAACTCTTATGTAATTTGATTAGACATACCTGGAAATCTCCCTTTGTCATGCATTGTAATGACTGTGGGAGTGAGATCTACCTGTACTCAAAGCTGATTTCAGAGATTTCCAAGTTGCAGTGTTGAGAAAAGCAGCAGGATGATTCCAGTTTTCTAGTGGATGACACTAATGCAGGAAAAGAAGCCATTGGACCTGAAGAGTCCATAGAAAGAGAAAGGAGAATTCTTGACAGTGTAGACCAACAATAAGACAGGATGACTGTGTGCTCCAGAGACATTTGGTACCAAAGGGCCAGGTATTCTTTTTCTCCAATGCTTTGGCGCTATATGAACTAACTATCCTATATAATAAAAGGGTAATATGCAAATTGACCCTAACAGCAGAACGACTAGGAATGACTGGTCACTATGACACACACTTACCACCAGGGGGCAGATGCTCAGTGCAGGAGCTTCCCCCTGGTGGTCAGTGCGCTCCCACAGGGGGAGCTCTGCTCAGCCACAAGCCAGGCTGATGGCTGCCAGCACAGCGGTGGTGGCGGGAGCCTCTCCTGCCTCCTCAGCAGCACTAAGGATGTCCCACTGCAGCTTAGGCCTGCTCCCCGCTGGCAAGTGGACATCCCCCAAGGGCTCCTGGGCTGCCAGAGGGATGTCTGACTGCCAGCTTAGGCCCGATCCCCTGGGGAGCAGGCCTAAGCCAGCAGGTGGACATCCCCCGAGGGGTCCCAGATTGTGAGAGGGCACAGGCCGGGCTGAGCGATCCCCCAGTGCACAAATTTTTGTGCACCGGGCCTCTAGTAACTAATAATAGCCACAGATGGGCTATCTCAGCCAAATGAAATAGAAATCAAGATGCATTCCAGCCCTGCTTGTGTGGCTCAGTGGGTGAGCATAACCCATGTACCAAGAGGTCACCAGTTTGATTCCAGGTTAGGGTACATGCCTAGGTTGCCAGCTCAATCCCCAGTAGGGGGTGTGCAGAAAGCAGCCGATTGATGTTTCCTTCATTGACGTTTCTCCCTCTCCCTCTCTCTCTAAAAATCAATAAAAACTTTTTTTAAAAAAAAGATGAATTCTAGAAAAATAAATGTTATTTCCCAAACACCTAACTGTGGTCTGAGATGTATATCCACTCATAGAAATCTCTAAGCCTCTGCCACCAGAGCAGAAGGGAGTTTGGAAAACATTAAGTTGTTATAAAAAAAAAAAAGTAAATTGTCTTTTGTGAACAGTTAGATTATGGTGAGATGTGTAACCCTTTTATCTGTTATCTGATTCATGTTTTTTCATGTTCATACAGTGTTATCTACTTTCATTAATTAATCCTAATGAAAATCTAAGATGCAGTCAAAGAGTTATCAGAAGATACTCTAACTCAGAATTACTTACAACATGGGCTTACCTAAATAGTATAACATGAATAAAAAAACAAAATTGTACATATAGTATTATCCTACTTGAGTATTTTATTTCTTTATGAAACACACACATACACACACTAAGGACATGTAAAGTTTGAGGTGCCTGGCATACATCCAAGAGGAGGTACAGAATAAGGTGTTAGATATAGATGTCTAGAGCTTTGAAGAGAGACCTGGGCATGAGATGAATTTATAATCCAATAGCATGTAGATAGCATTTGAAAACATGAGAGTGAATGACATCACCTAACAGGAGAATATAGAATACAGGGGAAAATATATATAATATAAAAATTCACCCCTAGCTTGTTTGGCTCAGTGGATAAAGTGTTGGCCTGCGGACTGAAGGGTCCCAGGTTTGATTCCGGCCAAGAGCACATGCCAGGGTTGTGGGCTCCATCCCCAGTAGCAGGTGTGTAGGAAGCAGCCAGTCAATGATTCTCATCATTGATGTTTCTATCTCCCTCTTCCTTTCTCTCTGAAATCAATAAAAATGTATTTTTAAAAAATTACACTTCAACCATTTAACAATGGTCAATACCAAGTTCTGAGAAACTCCAACATTTAAAATCCAGGAACTAGCCCTAGCTGGTTTGGCTCAGTGGATAGAGTGTTGGCCTGTGGACTGAAGGATCCCGGGTTCGATTCTGGTCAAGGGCACATGCCCAGGTTGCAGGCTCAATTCCCAATGGGAGGCGTGCAGGAGACAACCGATCAATGATTCTCATCATT